AACATCTTCAAAGGAAAACGAAAAAGTCCAGTTGCCTCATGAAAAAGCATCTTTGGGATCTCCATAGACACTCTTCTATATAAGTCAACAGTTCTTGTAGGTTTACAGATAGATACCAAACTAATATATAGCAAAAGATACAAAGGTGGCTAGGTACTGTATGGAAAAGAAGGCTAATCCCTAGGAGGAATTCCTTATTAAAAAGATGGACCAATACAATCCTTGATAGAAACTTTCTGAGGTCCCTTTAGATCAGTGTTTCTCAACCTTGACAATTTTAAGGCATGTGGACCTCAACTCCCAGAATTCCACATGTGGAATTCTGGGAGTTGAAGTCCACATGCCTTAAAATTGTCAAGGTTGAGAAACACTGCTTTAGATGCAGGTTGCATGGTCCTTCTGTTTGCCATGAAGTGTAAGTCATGCTGTATTCCAGAAATGCCTCCATTGCCATGGCAATGGCTATTAATAACCAGCTATTCAATTTGTATAGCATATGGGATCTATAAAAAGCAAAAACTATTAATACAGACAGGAATTTTCCCACGGTAAAAAAAAAAGGAAAGAAAGAAATTAAAGTTGACTTTCATTTGTAAGAATGCTGCAAATGCAAGATTTGTTTCCGCCTTACCTCTGTCGAGCTCTTTTATATAAGGTTGTGGTTAGTGTGTTTGCTGTGGGGGATTGAGTAAATTGCTATGTTATGTGATTACTGTGCCCTTTCCCTTATAACAGGGTGCTCCATCTTGGCGTGTCTTGATTAACACCTTTGCCTGCTATGGCTCAAGTTATCATTCTTCTCATGGTACAGAATTAGTAACATTCGTTTATTTACAGAAAATGATCAGTGGAAACTCTGGACTGGCAGAGCAGGAGGCACCGAGAGAAATATCTTGCCTTAGCATTCTCTGATAATGAACCCTGCTACAAAATGTGGCAATTTGAAGCTATCTTAATGAAAGATGCCAGTCATTGTTTTTCCCTCTTGTTACAGAGTCAATCACTATACTGATGTTTCAGCAGTTCCTCTCTCCCAGGGTAATTCTTTTTTTCCTCCATTTGCAAATTGTGGGATTTTCTCAAAATGGTTGTTCCTTCCTTCTTGCTACTAGTTTACCTATTTTGTAGAAGCAATTGTATTCCACAGACTGAATGTTAGAAATAGAAGGTCATTATTTCAGTCAATGAAGCATCATGTGTGCCTCAAATATGGCTCTTCATGCACATGATTTTATGTGCATATACTTTTTTGTTCTTCATTTTCCATAATGGAAAATATTTGAATGGATTTTTTTTAAGGCCATGTTAACTTTTGAGATCCTAAGAGAATTTGTCTTGAGTTGGAACTTTTTCAGTTACGGCCCTATACATACTGTAAGGTTTAAACTAGGGGTCTTCAAACTTGGCCCTTTTATGACTTGTGGACTTCAACTCCCAGAATTCCTCAGCCAGCATACCTGGCTGAGGAATTCTGGGAGTTGAAGTCCACAAGTCATAAAAGGGCCAAGTTTGAAGACCCCTGGTTTAAATGATGCATACTTTCAGGCAGCCTTAAGTGCCATCAGAACAAAGTCATAGATTTTTTTTTTTTTTTGCATTTATAACAACATAGGTGGGAAACAGGTATAGAAAAAACCCTGGTCTAAAACTTTGTGGAGTGCTGCCAGAAGAAATAATAAATTAGTTCTGGGTAAGATAGCTGAGGTACTTGATTGATTGAATAATTGATTGATTTTTTTTGTTCATTCATTCTACTTGTATAATTCTGAAACAATAAAAACTCACAGCAGTTTTCAATTGTGCAGATGAACAATAATTCATTTAAAACATCCATAGAAAGTAAATCAGTAATCACAGGAAATATAATTAATCAATAATAAAGTTATACAACAAAGGTAGAAAATTGCAATGAATCAATTAATTTAAAAATATAAATATGAGAAGATAGCAACAAGCAACTAAACTCCAAAAACACATGGGAAAATATTTGTTTTAAGCAACTTCTTGAATGTTAAAGGGAGGGGATAAACTTGATCGCCATACCATGGTTACCAGAATTACTCTCTCTGTGTGTCTCTCTCTTGTATCTGTCTGTCTGTCTGTCTGCCTGACTGCCTGCCTGCCCTCCTGTCCGTCCATCTGTCTGTCCATCCATCTATCTATCTATCTATCTATCTATCTATCTATCTATCTATCTATCTATCTATTCCAATAGTTTCAAATTTGTGAAGATTTGACTTCTTGCTTAAATCAGAATGAAAGTGTTCCACTTCTTTGAGAGAATCTGAATCCTATTGATAGGCAAACAATGACTTGTTAGACAAGCATAGCACTTCTGGTAACACAAAAGAATGTAACTGTGTTAATGAGGCTCCTGTCAAAGGCTTCTAAGGCTCCCTTGACTTTATAGCTCCCCCCCCTTTCCTTTGATGCTTTTTATTATTTTAAGTAGGACTGGATGAAGGGTCAGCGAAGCTATTTTACAAATATCTTGGGAAGTAAGTATCTGAAAAAGTGTGGGAATTAAATACAGGTGTGGACCTTCTTCCTTATCAGAAGGAGGAAACCAAACCACTCACACACACGACTGTTTGCATACAAAATCAGTACATTGATAAGCTGGTTTCACCCTCCAAGAGATGAATTTAATTTCCTGTGATGTGTCAACAAGGGCAAAATGTGTCATTTGATCATTTACAGTGGTATTAATAGGCATGACAAATTTCAGAAGGTCCTCCCTATTTTGGTGCAAATTTACATATTAAAACAGAAAATATATGCAGTACAGTACTCCATTTTAACAGGGCAGGTTGCCATTTTCCTTTCCAGACAGTGAATCCAGTTTCTACAGACTCCTGCTACTGCATTTCTATGTCATTATCATCTTCTGGCAGCACAGTAAACATTAGCCATGCATTGAAGGAATCCTTAAAATAGATCTACAAGGCTTGTGAAGATACACAAGAGAAAACCTATAGCACAACCATTTAAGTGATTGATCAGTAGAACACCTTGCCTCCAGAACTTGTGAATGCTCCAACACTAGAAGTTTTGAAGAAGAGATTGGACAACCATTTGTCTGAAATGGTACAGGGTTTCCTGCCTAAGCAGGGGGTTGGACTAGAAGACCTCCGAGGTCCCTTCCAACACTGTTATTCTGTAAAGTTGCCATATATCCTGCTTGATTTAGGGCAATCCATTGCTTGAAAGCAGCTTCTGTTGAAAGGTATTGAGGAATATCCTGAAGAAATATCTCTGAAACAATGACCCAAGAGGTCATGAGTTATGTAGCCCCCAGCTAAAACCAGGAGTAGGTACAATCAGATCTCTGCTGAGTCTCTGCATTGCTACTTTCTTATAGACACCTAAATGGATCTCTGAGGATGAATGCTAGATTAAAAAGCCTTTGGTTTGATCCATTAGAGTATTCCTTACGTTCTATCTCATTTTCACATAAGTGATCCCTCTTGTTTGGGAAGGAAGACAAAAAGGCATCTAAAAGATCAAGGGAAAGGAAATGTCTCTGCCTCTTTTCCTCCTCCAGAATAGTCCTAAAATCTAGCAAACAACAGGACTTGTTCATGAGAAATGTGAAAGGGTTTCAAAGATTAACAACCATTTTTAAAGTTGCCTGCCAGGATTTGAGTACAATTCAAAATCCTTTTGTTTGGAACATTCTTCTTTTTTAAAATTAGTAAATTATTGTTTGCCTTTTTTTCTTGCAAATTTTTCTGTCAAGAGGTATTTGTTTTTGGATCTGGAGGTGATAAGTAAACATCCTAGTGGTTTTCAGATCAATAAAAATTTCACAAGAAAATAAATATGTTTACGACACAAATAAGATCTATTGTTCCAGTTTGTGGAAACATAGCTTAATATTTCCATTATTTCTCTTAAAAGAATTCTAAATACAAAACATAGAATTCTATCATACTTTGAGCAATGGTCTAATTTGTCTGCAACTTTGTGTAGAATACTACTTTGCAAATCATTGCCAGATGATCATATATAAATTTAAAAAATGAGATCATGTTGCCTAAATTAAAATAAAAATAAAAAAAATATGTGACTGACTATAAGAGGCAAATAGGGATAGAAGCAATACACGGTGTAAAAGTTACACAGCTTGAGGTAATTGAGTGAATATTAAAAAGATATCAGGGATGGATAGAAGTGATGGCGTTTTATAGAATCAAGGAAGAGATCTTAGAAGTCATCTAGGCCAACCTCTTGCTCAGTAGACAACCTAGATTATTTCTAACAGATGACCATCCAGAATCTGTCTGAAGATTTCTCATGAATGAGAACTCACCATACCAGGTGGCAATTTGTTTCAGTGGCTGACACCTCATAGCCTAACCTTCCTTTCTTATAGTTTTTATGCACTGGTTCTAGTCCTGCCCTCTGGGGCAATAGAAAATAAATCCAATTCTACTTCTATGGGACATTATAGCATCATGATCTCTAGGTGACATCATATCTCCCTCAGCCATCTCTTTTATAAGCTAAATATACTCAGCATCTTTAATTCTTCTCATAGGGCTTGATTTCCAGGCTCGTCAATTTGTTACTGTCCTTTCTGAACTGCAGTGTCCAGAGCTGGACAGTCGGTTGATAGAATGGAACTATTGTATCACTTCCTGTGATCTAGGCTGTGTGCTGTTGTTAACGCACCCAAGGTAACACTGCTGACTCATGTGGTTGATAAGGACACCTGGATATTTTTCCCATGTTCAGCAGGCAAGCCAAGTCTCATATGTCCTTCACTTGTGCCTTTCCTTTTTTCAACAGAGATATAGAATTTTTCATTTTTCTTTGTTATATTTCATCCTATTTATTTCAGTCCAGCATTCAGGTCTAACTTAAGTCTTTTGAAATCCTCTTTCTCTGTCCTCAAAAGCATTAGCTGCCTGTCCCAGATATGTGACAGTTGCAATTGTGACACGTGTCCCCTCAACTATCTATCAGTCGAAGTCACTGATAAAAACAATGAATCTCCTGGGACACAGGGAAGATCCCTGTGGCACTTCACTGGATATTTTCCTCCAGGCTGAAGCAGAGCCATGAATGAGAACCTTTTGAGTGTAGCCATTCAGCTAATGGTGAGTCTGTCTAACAATAGTATTATCTGTCCACATTTTACCATTTTAACCAGGAGAATATTATGAGGAAAAGGTTTTCCTAATGTCCCTATACTCTATGGCAGACATGTCAAACACAAGGCCCAGGGGCCGGATGCGGCCCACGAAGTGTTTTCATGTGGCCCGCGAAGCCATCCTGAAAACAGTGAGGGAACGGCCCCCACTGTCTTGGCCCTGGCCCAGGCCACCCGGGAGCCAATGTACAATTTTGTGGTGGCCATCTTGGCACTTGTCCTGGTGGACCATGCCTTGGCACTTGCCCCGGTCCCACCCCCTTCTGCCAGAGACCCTCAGATCTGTCCCACTCCTGCCCAGGCCCCCATAGGCACCCTTGACACGAATGATGTAGAACTGGCCATGCCCACCCAATAGGTCACACCCACTCCATCCATGCCCACCCAGTAGGCTGCACCCACTCTGGCCACACACCCCTGACCCCCCCCCAGGGCAACCACAATGCTGATGTGGCCCTCAGTGAAATTGAGTTTGATTACCCCTGCTCTATGGCATTCCCTTGATCTATAAGTTTTAGAGGAAAATAGGAGGAGACTGGAATATTAAATATGTTCGCCATCTTGAGTTATATAAAGAAACTATAACACAAAAAGAGATAAGATTAATCTGACACAGCTTGTTTATAACAAACCCATTCTGGCTCCTGTGCTCCATCTAAGTGCTCACAAACATGCTGTTTAATAATCTGTTTGAGAATCTTTCCCTCTATAGATAACCTGATAGGCTTGGAGTTTACCAGATTATCATTCTTCCAATTTTTGAAGATGGGGGCACATTAGATTTACTCTAGTTTTCTGGGACCTTCAACTATTATTCAGAATGATTCTGATTCACTTTTGTAAGTTTTTAACTACTGTAGGATTTAATCCACCTGGACCTAGGAGACCTTGATTAATTTAAATTCTCTTTTATCCCCTTTTTATCCATCCTAAACCACAGTTCCCTAATTTGCCCATTGCCGAATAATGGCAGCTAGGGCTCCATTTCTTTTCTGAGAGAATAGAGAAGCAAAATAGAAGTTCTGCTGATTATTATTTTTCCTTTTTCTTGTTGAAATGACCTTTCTTTGGCTTTCCTTTTGTTTCCCTCACACTAAAATAACCCTTCTTGCTGATGGTATCTTTTGCAAGCTTTGGCTCATTTCCAGCTTTAACCCTTTTGACACAATTTCTAGAGATTATTTTGAATTCTTCTTTGGTTATATTCAGTGATGGGATTCAAATCTGTGAACAACCAGTTCTCTGTGTGGATGCCACTTCTGGAAGTCCATTCTGGGCCTGGGCAACAAAAAATTAGCTACCGGTTCTGCTGAAGTGGTGTGAACTGGCTGAATCCCACCACTGGTTATATTCATTTTTCTACACAAGTTCCTTCTTTTTCTTCAACATTCTAGAGCTGAAGAGGGGAGCCCCTTTTTCATAAAAAGAACAGAATCTAAATGTATCTTTTTAAATTCTATTTACTGGGATTTTTATGAAAATATAATATGGGTATTTGTTCTGTAATTGGTTGCAAGTCTGGATTGGCTAGGACCATTCAATAATCTACGTGAATATTTATTTAGACTCCAGATACTGAAGTATAATTAGGTATGTAGGCTGGATCATGTGGAAAAGAGTTAAAGATAAAAAGGATGCTGAAGCAGAAGCAAAGTCAGGAAAGTAATACACACATATAAATACACACTCATATTGTATACACAATTCAGAATATTTCTGAATTCACTAGTGCTGGACTCTAACAATAATAATACAAGATAATATTAACTTCAAATCTCACACTGGATGAAAAAGGATATGAAGAGACATCAGAAACAGCTAGATATTATTTGCAGAAATTACCTATGGAATGAAACAAAATATGAAGCATTTTCTTCCAATCAGACATCCAAGCTGCCATCAATAGCAGCTATGATTGCTTATCATTCTCTCTCTAAAGAAGATAACATATTAGCTATGCAGGGAACAGAAGTATATTTCTTCTATCCCCGAGCTCAATGGTGGGATTCAAATACCTGAACAACCAGTTCTCTGAGTGGATGCAGGTCTGGGCATCAAAGGTCTAGAACAGACTTCCAGAATGGTATCCACACACTCCCAGGGGGCCGTTCTAGGCCTGGGGGGCCTCTTCCAGCTGATTCTCTGAACTCAAAATTTTTTAGCTACCGGTTCTGTCGAACTGGTGCGAACTGGCTGAATCCCACCACTGCCCGAACTCCATTCACCATTCAACCTCCAACGGATACCTTTGGTTCTTATCAGCTTCCCTTCCTTTCTTAAACTCCAATTGTTCCTGTCAGTTCTAACATCTGAATATCAGCTTGATATTATTGAAATGCAGAAGAGTCCAATTATTTGTTTTCTTTTATGTGGCTTAGCTGGGGCCTCATTCTTGCTCTTCATGCAGGCTTGGAAATTAATGGAATATAATAGGGAAATATAATAAACTCTCCCTTATTTGTGAAGCTATCTAGGCCACAGCCTAAGATTGGACTACAAATGAAACAGGAAGATTGATACTCTTATCTAATTCAACTAAGGTAGATTACACTAGATATTAAACATCTGCCATGGAATGTGGGAATGACCTTGAGGGATGAGGGGAAGAGATGCTTCCTAGGGAATAATCAGACAAGAGAGGGTGGAGCCCACAGTTGCTTAACAGTCAGAGAAAGAAACTTAGGAAGGACCTGCCCTAATTGATCAGACTGTTGGAAGTGACAGTGAGAGATTTGTATTTTCAGACTTGCATGATTCTATTAATGTAGACTTACCACCAAGTAGGATTAGCTCATCTGTCCATGTTTCCTGTCGGCTTTACCTGCCAGGGCTGATACTAAGATACCTTATTCCCCTAATACCATAAACTAGTACAAGTGACAATGAAAATTCTCATAGATATGAGGATGCAAACTGGCTATCAATCCTATTTGGCTAATTCTGTGGAGATCCTAGGAAATGGCCTTGTAGGACAGGAAGAAGAGCCACTATTGAAGCAATAATCAGATTAGCAGGGCTTGAGCCCAGGCCAAAAAACTAATTTGAGACTGCATCTCAGACAAGCCCCTTCCTAGTTCACACAAAGGTAAATGGAGAGGAGGAAGCATATCTAGACTTTTAAGTTTCTATTACTGTAGCTGTTAACAATACAAATAGTCCTGACTTACATGACATTGGCTTCTTAGGCTGGCTTATCTTGTAGGGCTGACATATCAACATTGTTCAATTTGGGAGAGAGCTCTGGTTTTGAGTTTTGTGATTTTGAGAGAATGTTTTTTTTTCCTGTTGGACAAGCTTCATAACAGAAGTCTGATTGGCTGTGACTTCCTCCTTGGTATCCTTCCCAAAGGCAATGCAGAGGCAATCAATATAGCTGGACATGCAGAAAATGGAAATAAGGGAGACCAAGGAAAAGATGCTGTTGGGATCAGGGTGATCAAGAAACAACAAAGGACAACCACTCATATTGAGGGCAGAAAGGCTGATATGGAAGAACGTAAAGCAGGAGTGGATGATATCCCTGGGTTCTCACCTGCTGTTATAATGATTAGGAAAGATGGGCACTTGAGTTCCAACTGTCTCCAGAGGGCAATATTTCTAAAGAGCACAGTATGTCTCCTTTGGACTCCGTAATGATGTTCTTCCATTTTTTTGATAGTGAAGCTGAACCCTTCTCTGCCGCCAAGGGTAAAATTTTTCATAAAACTAGCTCAACAGCTGCTAATAATAAATGAAAATTACTTGTCTGGAGATTAATTTGCTGCCATGGTAAGAATTTTTCAACTAATTAGTGAAACAGTGGAGAAAGCCACAAATATTAAAGCCTATCACATTCAACAGCAACATTCTCACTGAATTCAAGCTGGAATTTAATTACACTCATTGGGGTTAGATATGTTTTTTCTAAATAAATTTGCATGCCATGTACTTGTATAGTTGTTTTCCAGAATGAATAAGGATCTCAATATATGGATAAAAAGCTTCAGGGAATGATTCACAAGCCTCTGCAGAGGTTCCACTGGAGACCTTGCTCTTGGACAGACAGATCCATACCTGATTCTGGTTTGGCATCACTTATTTCAGAAAGGAAGAGAGATATCACTTGGTTATCCAGTTTTTACTTAAATAGAACCTATATGACTGAATCCAGGCGCATGCATATCCCTTCCCAAGTTATATTATTTATTTGTGACAAAAATGACTATTGTGCATTTTTAATGTATTAAAAGACCCTCTATTCAGAAATATCAAATATCACATTCTAGTTCCAGTTTTATTTCTGAAATTTAACTTCCAGTGTCAAATAATAATTCAAGCTTTCAGTAAAATTCAACAAAGGGAAAATAGCATTATTGTAGGTGTGGTGGAATCCAGAATCTCAGAGCAAACAAAGAATACAGTCACCATGTGCTTTACAGCTCAACTATTTAACTGTAACAGGAAACAGGAAACTACTTAAAACAAAAGAGCATAGAGTATATGCCATAGATCCAAAATTGTAAACATTGCCATCTACTGACTGAATACTACTGTAGTTGTTGCATAGAAATACATTCCAACAATGAATTTCAGCAGGTGGACACTGGTAACATTTCACACAATTATATCTAATAGTATAATATGCAGGTATTGTTGTTGTTAATTGCTACTTGGAAGCTCAAGAGCAGCTACAGCATATATCCTGTTGTTTCAAGATATGCTGAACAGTTGGGAGTATAATGAAGTCTGCTACAAGAGATCTAATAGGTTTTCAGAATCCTTTTCCTAAGTAGGCATATACCTCTCTCTCTCTCTCTCTCTCTCTCTCTCTCTCTCTCTCTCTCTCTCTCTCTCTCTCTCTCTCAAAAGGAAGATCCTGCCACTTCACAAAAGCAAAAATATTCCATGGTTCTGGAATGTTTTACAGTTCAAACTGTCAATTTCTCTTTTTGGAGGAGGGGGAGCAGA